ATAATTTCATATTTAGTATTAAAAGACTTAATAGATGATTCATTATTCTTGGGTGAAGTATATGTAACAAACAGTTCAAAATTAATTTTAGTGCTGTATGTTTCTTCAACATTTGTTTAATTAGTTGAGATGTGTGTGAAATATCAGATAAGAAAATTTCAGGTGAAATAGTTAATTTTTCGGGACTAATTCTGTAAGTGACAATTCTGTTCTTGAAAGCACATGCAATTATATTTACATTATCAAACTCGGTTTGCAGTAAGCAGTTGGACTTGTGAATATTGACTTTTGGTGAGCGGAATAACGTTTAACATGCACGCCGCAGGGCTTGCAGAAAAACATTTTGTTTTAATTATTATTATTATGAATACAGATACGTCAAGGACCAACGTTTCACGTTGGCGATTACGTTCGTATAAGCAAATACAAAGGAGATTATTATAAAGCTTATACCCCTAATTGGTCTACAGAAATATTTCGTATCGTTAAAGTCAACCAAACCTATCAAATAGAAGACAAACGCAATCAAAAAATTCTAGGCTCTTTTTACGGTTACGAACTACAAAAAACTAAATTTCCAGACCTTTATCTTATTGAAAAAGTCATTAAAAGAAAAGGAAATAAGCTTTTATTAAAATGGTTAGGTTTGAGTGATGAAGAAAATAGTTGGGTGGATTAAAATTGTATTAGTGGTGTAGGTATATAAATAACGTATTATTACTTAATAATCTCATTTTATACTTATCGATGAAGGAATGCAGTGGTATAATTAATAAAGTAATAGACAATTTACCGTTTGAGTTACATTTACCTGGTTATCAATTTTGCGGTCCCGGAACGAAACTTCAAAAACGGTTACTCAAAGCCGATCGTGGGATAAACAAATTGGATGAAGCGTGCATGCTCCATGATATTGCTTACACTAACAAAGATTCGGGCCCTCGACAAAAAGCGGATTTAGAACTTTTGAAAATGGCTAAGAGGAAGTTGAAATCAGAAGATGCTAGGAAAGGAGAAAAAATTGCCTCATGGATAGTCAAAAATGCGATGAAAGCGAAAATCCGGGCGGGGAGCGGTATAAAAGCATTAAGGAAAGGGATAAAAAAATACAGTCTCGGTTGAAAAAACTAAAATCCAAAGACAGTCACTCGGCTATAAAATATGCCTACGCAGCTGCAAAGAAAATATTTCGTAAAAAAAAAGGAATAAGTTTACCCCGTTGTATTCCTCTTCCAAAGTGTGGAGGACTTTTGCCCCTTATTCCCATATTTGCAGGATTGTCAGCTTTAGGATCATAAGCTGGTGGAGCAGCGGGTATAGCAAAAGCTGATAATGATTAAAAAGCAGCAAAAAAGAGTCTTCAGGAATCTGAAATACACAACAGAATGATGGAAGCCGTTGCTCTAGGAAAAGGATTATACGTTAAACCTCATAAACAAGGAGCAGGTTTATATCTTAACCCCTCAAAAAACTAATTAGACGGCTACCCCGAAGGGCGCTCACTAACCTGGACATATTAGAACATGCAAGTGACATTCCATACTTTCGCGGCGATTTCATGAGAAATAAATTACCTTTGAAACCGAGAAAGATAGAAAGTGGAATACTGAATTTGGATAGCTAGAGAAATCCTGGAACGCATTTGGTAGCCTTTGTAAAGCACAATAAATACGTAGAATGTTATGTAGTTTTGGTAATTTAAATCCCCCGTTAGAATTAGTTAAATATATGCATAACTTACCTATTAACTATAATTATGCACGACATCAAGCGTTTGGTGCTACAAACTGCGGACATCTTTGTCTAAAATTTTTAAGGAATTACTGGAAAAAGCATTTATATAGTGTATGAAGTAAATAAACGTATCAGTATGAAAATGTCTTTCACTGTGTCTATAACTGGGACAGGAGCCTCTTTATCAACGAACTATTCACCGACAATAGAACTACGAGGAGACTACGAATGTGGCCTTTTGTATTTTTCAACTTTCAATTCTATTTCCATTATAGATCAAAGAAACAATAAATTTTATTATGGTGAAAAAGAAATGATCGAAATTCCTGAAGGGTCTTACGAGCTTCAAGATATTTGTGATTATCTAAAAAATAATATTAAGAACTTTTTTACTGTACCTAAAATTAACTTGTAACAATAATACATTGAAAACAAATATTTTTTGCTCTGAAGATGTGCACTTTAATAGAAGCGAATCACTGAGTAAAATTTTAGGCTTTGGTATGGAAACAATAAAAGCAAATATAAGTACTGAATCAAAGTATCCTGTCAGTATTCTATCAACAACCATCGTGCGGATTGAATGCGATGTAGTTAGTGGTTCATTTATCAACGAGGAAGCAAGCCATATAATTTATGAATTTGCACCTAATGTACCACCTGGTTATCGAATAATTGAAATACCTAGAAATTTGATTTATTTTCCTGTTAACCAAGGTTCCATAAGTAGTATCAATATAAAGTTATTGAACGCTGAGAATAAAGAGATAAATTTACGAGGTGAAGAAGTACAACTGTATTTACATTTACAAAAAAATATATGATAAATTTCAATAAAAGCCCGTCTACTTCGTGTATCCAAGCCAGTTTTAAAAGAACATCTCATTAAGGCACACCTCTTCAGCTAAAAAAGAACCTTACCAAGTCTAACAAAGAATTTCTTAAGCTAGTTGGCTTAATGAATATTTTAAACGTATCTCAACAAACATCATGCGATAACAGCATTGAAAGTTTTGAGTATCATTCATACAAACCATATGTAGTTTTAACAAGAATGACGAAATACGTATTCCTATTAATCAGCAAGACCTATACGTACTACCTTCACTCAATAGTTTATATATCGAGGGAAAGGTGAACGTTTATAACAGCACCACAAAAGGAAAGGTATCAAACGTACATTTTGTCAATAATCCCGTGCTATTACTTTTTCAAGACATACGATATGAACTTAATGGAGTAGAAATAGATAAAATTAAGAATGCTGGTGTCACTACTACAATAAAATCTTACCTATCTTTAAATGAAAATGAATCCAAATGTGCTCGAGTTTGGGGCTGGTCAACTGGCGGAACAAGCAATACTAGTGGTGGAGCGTTTTCCGCGTCTATACCATTGAACAAGATATTAGGATTTGCAGAAGATTATGAAAAAAATTATAATTAATCGTAAACATGAGTTAGTATTATTACGAAGTAATACAAATCTTAATACGATCAAGTTAAATACAGGTGAAGTTGTAGAAGATATTATAATAAATAAAATTGTTTGGCGAGTTCCACACATCAAAGTATCAGATCGTGAAAGAATCAGCCTATTAAAACATTTAGAGAAAGATAGAGCTATTCCATTGGCATTCCGTTCCTGGGACTTATATGAGTATCCATTGCTACCCAAAACACGTAAACATACCTGGTCTACAGGATGTCCATTAAATAGCGCGACATACTGCAGGGGGTGATAGCTAGGGTCACTACCTATCAATACAACACAATATATTATGTTCAGCAAAATCTTACGGATTTACAGTTTTACAAAATTTTCCGAAATACCGAAAAATCTCTACCTTGAAACAGATTTTTAAGCATCTCGTAATGAAAAAATCCTTTTCTAGTACTTTTTTTTACATCAAATTGTTCGTGAATAGTTAATTTACTCATTGATAAGTCTTTTTTCTGTCAAAGACAAGAATGTTTTCAAGAAATACTATTTTTTGTTTAAATTTTCACAGAAATATTTTCTTATCACTTAAGTTTAACCTACAGTGGTGAAAAAAAATGTATGTGGCAGTTTTGTAAAACAAACTGAAAAAATAGCTTGTTTAATGGTGATTTAGGAAAGATACAATACTAGTGCATTTTCATTAAAAAATACAAAAAAAAAAATAAGCTTTTTAGTTAATAAGAGCATTTTATTTTAAATGCAAGTAATGTGACTTTGAATTCGAATCGTTGTAAGGTCGTACTACGGTTCGAATTACATAATAATTAATCTACAGCCGACCGGCCGGCCGGTCTGTAAATGACATCTTGAAGGATAAGGTGATAATAAAAAAACAGAGGAGTTAACTTTAATAAATATTTATTTAAATAATATACAATAAATGCTCAAATTGCTTACCTTGGGCCCTAATACACGCTCGGCATCTTCTTAAAAATGAGCTTTTGAGTCTTCTCAGGCTTATTTCCGATATTTTTCTTGCTGCAATGTTAACCCTTGCTCTCAATTCATTGTCATTTTGGATCAGTTTTTCGTAGACTTTGTCCTTCATGGCACCCCAATAAAAAGATCCAGGGGGTTTAGGTCCGGAGACCTAGGTGGCCATAATATCGGTCCCAGTCACCCAATCCACCTGCCTGGATAAGCTTCATCTAAGTAGGCTCTTACTTCCCGGCCATAATGAGCAGGGCACCCATCATTTTGAAGCCACATCATCTCTCTTAGCTCACTCGGAACATTTTCAAGGAGCGTGGGTAGGGTTTCTCGTAAAAACTCTAAGTAATCATTGGCATTTAATGTAGGTGGAAGCTCGACGGGACCCACAATCTGGCCATTAAAAATCCCACACTATAAATTTATTTTGAATTGGTACTGGGACCTGTCTTTTCTTGACACATACGGATTTTCTAATTGCCAACTATGTAAGTTATGCAAATTCAAGTAGCCGTCCTTTCTGCAGGCTGTCTCATCACTCCACAACACCTTATTAAAAAAGTTTGGGTCCTCTCGATGCATTTCAAGCAGGCGGCGGCAGAATTAAACTCTCGGCAGGTAGTCTCTAGTTAAAAGAATTTGCACGCGTCGTACGTGAAATGGATGGTATCCATACCTCTTAAGTACTGAATGAACAGTGGACTTCGGTATCCCTGTGCGCCGTTGTATCGCCCTAACCGAAGTTGTCGGGTCTTGTTCTCGTTCTTGAAGCACTATGTCTTCGTCAACAACTTGAGGCTGTCCACCGCCACGTTGACCAGAGAGTCTGCCTTTCATGTAGGAGTTATGCACTCTGGTAAACATTTCATGGTGTGGATGTCTCCTATCGGGAAACCTTTCCCTGTAGAGGGTGGCAGCAGCTCGGGAACTTTGGCCAGCTTCTCCGTAAATAAGGTGCATCTCAGCATACTCTCGCTGCGTATAACCAGGAAAAAACGCGGCGGTTAGCCATGTTATAAAACACAGAAGTCCAGGTGGTCGCCAAGTCGTCGTAGTGATCACAATAAAAAATCCAAATCGTAAAGTCCGGGGTCCAAGGCACAAAACAGGCGTCAGTACGAAACAATAATTTGTGAAGACAGAGATGCGTTGCGCACGGTTTAAGGTAGCGTACTGACAAGTGTCGCAAATAAGGTTGAGAGTGAGACACAAAATCATAATGCAAGAAAGAGCGGGATAGCACATGCGCATCTTTTGTTAGACTTATTCTCATAGTGGTTTTTGTCAAAATTACGTTAATTACATTTTCAACAAAATCAGCTTCTCTGGAACTAAAATAGCATTTTTTTTGTATTTTTTTAATGAAAATGCACTAGTATTGTATCTTTCCTAAATCACCATTAAACAAGCTATTTTTTAAGTTTGTTGTACAAAACTGCCACATACATTTTTTTCACCACTGTAGGTTAAACTTAAGTGATAAGAAAATAGTTCTGTGCAAATTTAAACAAAAAATAGTATTTCTCGAAAATATTCTTGTCTTTGATAGAAAAAAGACTTATCAATGAGTAAAGTAACTATTCACGAATAATTTGATGTAAAAAAAAGTACTAGAAAAGGATTTTTTCATTACGAGATGCTTAAAAATCTGTTTCAAGGTAGAGATTTTTCGGTATTTCGGAAAATTTTGTAAAACTGTAAATCCGTAAGATTTTGCTGAACATATATTGTGTTGCATTGATAGGTAGTGACCCTAGCTATCACCCCCTGCAGTATGTCGTGCTATTTACTGGACATCCTGTATAAAAACTTCATCGCAAATAGAGTAACCACGATTTGTGGTCATTGTCTTACAAACCAACCGCAAACATAACGCGAAATTATCAATGGCGGAGTTTGATCATTGTCACGTACGAGATCTAAGAGTCTTTTTAAATTCATCATATTATCCTTATGAGGTGCTGAATGTCAGTTTTTCAGAAGATAAGTTTACTTTATTATACGATAAGTATGCGAGATTTCAACAGTCGTATCATGAACGCCGGTCTGAGCCGTTAATGGGTTTAAAGGAGTTCAGAGACGTGGCTCCATTATTTGTAATTGATTGTTCAAGACAACACGAAACTTTAAAAGGTTCGATCGATGTGAGAGTTGAAATCGAAACAGACCAAGAAATACCAGATCAGACAACCGCTTATTGCTTGATATTAAACGACTGTATATTCGAATACAAACCACTGAGTAATATCGTTAAGAAAATATCATAAATAGCAATACAATAATCGTCGATCTTCAAGGCTTCAAAAATAGCAAAAATGAATTTATAGTAAAGGAGTTTGCTATAGCCACTTTAGAGTACACCAATATATTCCTAATTAAACCTCTTTACCCATTCACTTCACTATCTCTTGAAGAGAAAAACAAATTGGCTGGATTGAAAAGCACAGAGGGTATCGATGGAGTGAGGGGTTTGTTGATTATAGAGAGTTTCACAGAATTATAAAGACATATTTGAAAGATAAAAAGATTTTTTTAAAAGGATGTAAAAAAATTAAATGGGTACAAGATATTTGTGATGAAAATAATACTATCATAGATATAAGTTGCTTAGGAGCTCCCAATTTAAATACTCTTTGTGAACTTTATTGTAAAGATACTTTACTGTATAACTGTTTTACTCATAAGAAAATATGTGCGTTAAAAATGTTCTATGTATTAAGAAATGGTGTTTTGAAAACAAAATGATTGTTTGATTTCCAATAAAATATATGTAAATAAACACTGTATCTTTTAATTTAAACTACCTTTGTGTTCGAGAAGAAGAAAAATATAGTTTCAGACCGCTAACGATTAGTACTTATTATTAAAGTAACTGTTTTTTTTTGCACTACCTTGCATTTTTAACGATGAAATAGATTAGCCTTCATATTTTGTTGTTATTTTATTGAACCATTTGTATTTGAGATTCCGAATGAAACGGTATTAGAAATGGAGCAAAGATAAAAAAAGCGGGTCGAGAATTAGATTTAAAAATTTAGACCTCTAATGGAGAGAATTGGGGCCTTCAACGGCATTTCGCTCGAGCGAAGCGAGAGCAAGTGACGCAGAAGCCCCAATTCGATAACATAGGCGTTTGTAAGTATTCGGTTCTATATTTGTTTTCAAAAATTCAGGTCATCGAGTGGGAGGTCCACAGGGTTGGTCCCAGCACCGATCCTTGAGGACAGCCCATCGTGGAGACCTTCCACACTACCCGATTTCCAGCAAACAGTCCCACTCGGCGATTTATAAAGTAACTCATTAAATTACGATATATATTAGGTGGAACGCCACATTGCTTTGCCTTGAGGACCATTGGCCACCAGGCATTGTTGAAGGCTCCAGATATGTTTAGGAAGATTAGTTGCACGTAGTTTTAAGTTGAATCGCTGGCAATTCGGTTGATGGTGCTAAGCGCGGTCACTGTCGATCGACCACGCGTAAAGCCATGTTGGGCGTCGGAAATTCCGCGGTAGAGACATGGAGCGCAAGAAATAATCACGCGCTTTAGAATTTTTTCCAATACGGGCAGCGGGGTTATCGGGCGGTAAGCCGTAAGGTCAGTAAGCGGTCGCAACCCTTTGGCAGAACTACCAGTTTGCCCATCTTACACAGATCTGGAAAAACACCCTCGACTATGCACGCCCTGAACATGTGCCAGATTTCGTCACCAGTCACCCGCCATACCTGTCTAACAATCTTAGCCGTGATTCCGTCAATGCCGGGTACAGTATTCGGCAGCTCTCGAATGATGAGTCCAACTTGTTCCTTGGTCGGTGGAGCAGCATCAGTTCCGCATCAGCGCCATCAGTTCCAGATGGAGCACATGCACCAGCGATCCATACTTGTCGATGGTATTCAGTGTCCCGGGCTAGATTATCGTCCGGGGAGAAGGCATTGACGAGACCAAGCATGGTGTCTCCGGTCGTCCTAGTATAGCCGTCGGCTAATTTAATTCCACTAAGCATTAATATGTATTGAATAGGAAAACATTTATTGCTATTGAATTCAAAATTTGTATAGTTAATTTGATTCTGTATTGTTTTGTATATCTACTTAGTTTGAATAACATTTTGAATTGTTTAGTTATTATGATTTTAGATTTTAAGTGTTATTTATTTTGATCGGTATTCACAGTGCTGTATTAGTCCCTACTTTAACGTATGGTAGTGAAAGTTGGGTGTGGCAGAAGAAGCACGAGAGTAGAATAAATGCAGTAGAAATGCGGTGGCTAAGGAGTATGTTAGGGCTGAATCTGAGTGACAGGGTTAGAAACTGTGTGATAAAAGAAGAGTGTGGTTTGCAAGATGATGCGGTGACCAGGATTAAGAAAGGAATGCTTCGGTGGTTTGGTCATGTAGAAAGAATGAATGCGGAAAGACTGACAAAGCAAATATATGTTGCAGAAGTGAATGGAAGAGTTGGAAAGGGACTTCCTAGGCGGAAGTTTGTTGACCAAATTGGCGATATACTAAAAATGGGCCAAATTAAGAGTACCTTTAACCGACGAGCATGTATGCGTAGGTATATGGATGTGGAAGAGGCGAGAAAGGTATGTCAGGATCGTGCTAAATGGAAGTCTGTAGTCACTGCCTACACCTAGGCGTGAGTGTTTATGTATGTATTAATATTAAGTTCGAATAAAAAAATACATCAACAATTTCAATGAAATATTTTATGGAATATATATGTATATCATTACATTACTAAATAGGTAAATTAATACTACAAAAATCACTATTAATTCTTATATATAGTGTTTCGATAAAATTATGTGTAGTTTCCCTGGTTTTGATATGTGCACTTTATAAAGACTCAAACTGTATGTGCAATATTTATTACCATAAAAAACCAAAACTAAAAACTTAAATTATATTATATTACGGCCCTCACGGTATATTGCCAAGAAGCTTAATGAGTATGGTGACTTTACTGGACACGAGGCATTCCATATTATTAGCTTACAAGCGTCCTCAGTCGTCTCATCTGCATTTTGATTTTTAAACTGAAATAAATGTAGTTATTAATGGGCCACATGATCCACTTCCATCACTGTGTGCTCGTTTGTCACAATTATTCTATAAAAAGTCTCTATTAAAACTCTCATTCACTGTCACTCAAATATTTTTGTAAAATATCTAATGCTCCCCGTAATTTCAGCCACTGAGCTTGCAACTTTAGCCTAATATTACGCTGACGGAGCTCAATATCTCTCTGTCGAATCCTCTCTCGTTCTAACTCTACAAACATCTTTTCTCTCTCTCCGTTATCATTTCTTATATTCTCCTCACACGAAAAGAAATTATTTTATATATAAGTTGGCGGCGCTAAAATGGAGGTTGTGGGGTGTGGGGACAGTTGGAAATTTCGGCGGTGTGTCAGATTGTGGAGGTGTTGGGAATCTGGGTGGTGTGAGGGATCTTGTAATTGGTTGCAGGTATAATTACTTGATCCTTGCTGCAGCCAGGAGTATTCCAGTCCTCATCATCTGAAAAAAAAAACAATTGAAAACTTGAACTTCCTACAGAATTATCTTCATTTATTTTACAATTATTTACTTTCATATAGTTAAAAATGAGTATTTGTAAGTTAAAAAGAGTGTTTTTATATAATAAGGGTGACAAACAAGCACACAGTCCACTGGATAGTAAGTTGATGGTGTGGCCCATATGAAACACAGCAGTATTAAGCTGCTATTTCACGCTGGTATTCTGTAAGAGCGTGGTCCTTCTGTGGTTGAGCCGAACGATTTGTGCAACAACTATACTACTAATAGGTATAACTGCAGCATGGCTCTACCCTGTATAAAATATGTAATGTAATAATATTGTTGCGCGCTACAGTTGATGGCACTTGCACCATCTAGTATCAAGTATTGTAGGTATATTTATCAATAGTAATATTTATATATAAATATATATATATATATAATGTAAATATTAGTACTGTGGCAACATGGGTCCTGGTTATTTGAAAATCAAATTAAATAATTATTACAAATAATTCAAATTAGTCATTAAATGTTTTATATATATGAGTACTTGAATACTTACCAATAGCAGGAACTTCAGGCGGTACAATTATTATGTTACTGCCCCAGGCTACCCTGACAGTAGCCGTTCGGAACTCGGGCCCATCAGGAATTCCACTCGACGAGTAGACTAGGGGAGGGTCAAACGACCTGTGGAGTATTAAGATATATCGGCTAACAAGGAAGAGAGCAAAACTTACCTTTTTCCGTCGAAGTAGGGTTAACCATAGGAAGATTCAGGTGTAATAGTATGTGTGTGATTGTGTTATGCTCAGTACGTGTTATATTATGTAACCTGACTTCCCCGCTGGTTGTAGAACAGCAGATTCAAAGGCTTCACCTCTATTCTAATATGAGATCCATCGAAGGGGCAAGCAGTCACAGAAAACACTTCAGAGTCTAGGAAATTATGCTCGTTTATCACTTATTATTTATAGTCAAGTTTATTATCTTCAAGTTAATCTAATCAAATTCAACAATATTTAACCGAAACACGCGTTACAACACACGGACTGCTGGTCAAAGTACTATATCACAGGACAACGTAGCAAAAAACGTAAGGTTCGCGAAGTATAAACGTCTGGGCTGCGAGCCGGCAATTATACTAACAAACGCGCGACTACACAGCCATCCAAAACTCCCGCTGCAAAATAGCCGAAAGAGCGTTGCACCCAGCGTGGGCATTCTGTACATGGTGGTGAGTTACCAGCAACCGAACAAAGGCGCCGTCCTTGGTGAGCAGTAAAGGGTGTCGAGCCCCGTACGGCAGTTGAGAATTTTTCAAATGTCCGCCAACGCGCAGCATCCCCGCGTCATCCAGGAAGAGGTTCAGGCAGGCCAGCGCGCCCTTGACAACAAAGCCCCGCTTCAAGGTTTCAATCATGTGTTTAAAATGCTCCGCTTGGATCATACGGGTCCAGTGCATCAAAGCTTCGCGCCGCTCGCTAGGGGACAAGGCGGAATCAAATATTCGGTTGGATGGGTCTCTCGAATTGTGGACAAATCGACGCAACAAAGCAGTCACTCCCAAGAGCTTATATAGAGAGCTGTACAGTTCTAGCAAGGAGAGATCCCGAGTGGGCTTATCCCTGCCAACTCCTACTCGGCCTCGTAGATCAGGCAATTCTATCGGTTCAGAGTATTTATTCTGGGGCCAGAACAACTGAGACTCAGTCATCCAACTGGGCCCCCACCACAGCGGGTGGTCAACCAAGAAGGGGGCTTCACAGCCGGCGGCGCAGTCGGCGGGATTCAACTCCCCTGAGACATGTCTCCAGGTTAGAGGCGTGCCAGAATTCTGGATTTGAGACACGCGGTTAGACACAAAGACCTCAAGATTGTGAGGTGCAGCTCGGAGCCAACAAAGTACTATCTCACTGTCCGACCAAGCGTAGACGTCCGTAATGTCGATTACAGACTTCAAAGAAGAGTGAACGTGGTTGAGGAGTCCCGTGAAAAGAGCGGCTCCGGACAGTTCCAATTTAGGGATTGTTAAGCGGGACCTAATGGGAGCAACCTTGTTTTTAGCAAGTACGAGATGGACGGAAGTATGGCCAGGAGAGCTCACCGTCCGCAAATATACGACCGCAGCATAGCCTTTCTCAGAGGCATCGCAAAATCCATGCAGGTTAGCCCTGCATTTCCCTGGAGGGAGAAAGCACCTTGGTATGGAGACCCGGTTGATGTCCGGAAGGGAGGACACAATGGAGAGCCACCCTCGCAGGAGAGCACCGCTTATAGGGTCATCCCAGCCCAACCCGGATATCCAGAGTTTTTGAAGGAAGCATTTAGCCAAAAAATGACCGGAGCGATCCATCCATTAGGATCGAATGTGCGGGCTAGAGTCGACAACAAAGAGCGCTTGGTCCAGGGTTTAGGAGGGCGATCGAGTTTGACTCGATACGTGAAGGTATCCTGAACAGGCTGATATTGATTAGGATTGTCAGGATGCTCGAATAGATGGGGGTCTTGTTGATCCTCTCCTGGGAGGTCCTTCAAAATATGAGGGGAGTTCGACAACCATTTGCGCAGCTCATAGCCTCCTGACTTCAGGATGGCAATCAATTCGTCTATTAATATATTATTACAAGAGCCTCCTCGACGGTGGAGGCGCCCGTGCAAATATCGTCCATGTAGACCGACGTCTCCAAGATAGAAGCCCCCCGAGCGTATCTTAGACGCTCTCTCTCAGCAAGTTCGAGAATGGTTCGCATGGCGATATACGGGCTGGACCGGAGTCCATAGGTGGTGGTGTTCAACTCAAACACTTGGATCGAATCGCAGGGCTTCTCGCGCCACAATATCAGCTGATATCGACTGTCATCACGATGGACCACTGATTGTGGAAACATTATCCGAATGTCGGCTACAAAAACAACTTGGTGGCGACAGAAGTGGGTCAAAATGTCGGATATGTCCTTGATCAATTTAGGACCAGAGTGGAGACACTGGTTCAGGGACACCCCATTTGACGGGGGGGGGGGGCGGAATCGTCAAAAACTACCCGAATCAGGAAGTAGTGCTCCTGTGACCGCCAGTCGAAGTGAGACGGTGACATGTGACCAAGCTCTTGATATTCGCGCATGAACTCGACATACTTGTCGCGAAAGGCTGGGTCGCGCCGCATACGGCGCTCCATAGAAAGCAACCTCTTTTCGGCCAGGGTACGAGATTGGCCCAAAGGGGGCCGTGAGTCAAGAAAGGGTAAGCGAGTGACAAAGCGACCGTCGACAAGGCGACCGGTATTGTTCTGGTAGAACAACTCGCACTCACGGTCCAGAGGGTTGACTCGAGGCGCGTGTGGTGGCTTCTCAATTTCCCAGAACCGCTGGACGACGTCCGAAAGAGACACGCCCATTACAGAGAGCGGGTCGGCCGTCTGAGGCGGTGGAGACCACAGAACCGGTCCAAAGAAACTATGCCCAAATACAGTGGACA